GGTTTGGGGTCTCCTGAGGACATGCGGGGGAATCTGGGTGGGTCTAGGAGCTCCTGAGGATAGGCTGGGGGCTCCTGAGGACATGCGGGTGGAATCTGGGGGCTCCTGGGTGGGTCTAGGAGCTCCTGAGGACAAGCTGGGGGCTCCTTTGGGCCTGCTGGACATCTAGGGGCTTATAATGACCTGCTGAGGGCTCCCAGGGAAAGCATTGGGTGTCTAGGGGCTCCTGAGGACATGTGGGATAGGTCTAGGGACTTCTAAGGATATGCTAGGGGGGTCTGGGGGCTCTTGAGGAGCTGCTGGGGGGGGTCTAGGGGCTCAGAATGACCTACTGAGGGCTCCAGAGGTCATTCTGGGGCTCCTTTGGAACACATTGGGTTGTCTGGGGGCTCCTGAGGAGCAGCTAACCTTGTCCTGTGTGTCTGGAGCTGACCCCTGTTACATCCAAACATCAGTGTAGTCCCCGGACATCCTCCGCGGGTGATATGTAGCCGACACTTTGCACCAGAGAGATATACAAATGAGAAAAAGTTTTCCTCCAGATATGAACATTCCCGCTCCGCTCATTGATCTCTGTCTAAGATATTGATTATAAATTACCGGTGATCCTTCCATAGCCCTCACACCCCTGAAAGCTGCTCCCACTAACCCCATCAGGTCTCCCACTGTACACTCCCTATGGAGCAGAACAATTATACATTGCTGCCATGGACCTCTTTATTCTACAACTGAAGCCAGAACCGTTTTTAGTTTTAGATGGAATTGTTGGAAATATATAGCGGCATCTATAGGATTGTATTACCGGTGTCATTATGTATTTTGAGCTGTAGGTGGCGCTGTAGTGCAATGTTAGTCTATTCTAGTCTTTGTGTTCACACTCATCTATGATATATACACATAATTATAAGTCTTTGCTAGCGGAAGGCGACCTGCTCATCCACATAAGAAAAGAGAATACAGAGAGGAGGTATGTGGACGGCATTACAGAAACCGCATGTGCGTGCAAACCTAAACAGTAAACTATATCTGCTGCGCCAGCTATGTAAGATGAGGCCAGGAAATGTGTGAACATGTGAATGTCATGCTGGAAATCATAGAACAGCTATGTGTAATTGGAGAGGAAATTAAAAGAGAACTATGGGGTCAGTGTTTTCCCCCATAGTTCTCCTCAGGGTCACGGGAGGACACAAACTAGCGTCCTCCCGTCACCAAAGCTCAGTATATTGCAAGCTACAGCTCGCAGCCGTTACTGTCGAGATGCACCCAGCTGCGTGAGTGACAGCTGGCTCTGCCTATCTATAGGCAGAGCCAGCTGGGCCCGCCTCCGTTGGTTCCTCAAGTCAGCTCTGGAGGGGGGGGGAAATCCATAAATGGACGGAGCCATGAGTGACAGCTGGCTCTGCCTATCTAGAGGCTGGGCCCGCCCCCGTTCGTTCCTCAAGTCAGCTCTGGAGGGGGGGGAAATCCACGCGGGGAGCCGTGAGTGACAGTCACCGCTCTCTGCAGGGACAGGATCGAGAAGTGAGCGAACGCCGGTATGTGTTCCCTCACCTCCCGATCTATTGGGCCGTCGTGTGACAGTTTCATTGTCACAGGTCGGCTAGAACTATGAGGATGAGTTAAAATCACTCCCCTCATAGTTCTCCTTTAACCCCTTCGTAAAGGGAGACATACACTGTACGTCCCGCCACGCAGTACCTATATGACATGCCACGTACACTGTACGTCCCGCCACGAAGTGCCTATATGACTGGCCACGTACACTGCACGTTACGAGTTATTTGCGGCTCTGTAATGCCGGTAATCGCTGATTCTCAGTATTGAGACGTTCATTAATGAAAGAAAGCCGTTCCATACAAATATGGGATCGCTAAATAGTGATCCTGTATTTGACAGCTGAAGAGAGCAGAGTACGTCCCGCCACGAAGTGCCTATATGACTGGCCACGTACACTGTACGTCCCGCCACGAAGTGCCTATATGACTGGCCACGTACACTGTACGTCCCGCCACGAAGTGCCTATATGACTGGCCACGTACACTGTACGTCCCGCCACAAAGTGCCTATATGACTGGCCACGTACACTGTACGTCCCGCCACGAAGTGCCTATATGACTGGCCACGTACACTGCACGTCCCGCCACTAAGTGCCTATATGACTGGCCACGTACACTGTACGTCCCGCCACGAAGTGCCTATATGACTGGCCACGTACACTGCACGTTACGAGTTATTTGCGGCTCTGTAATGCCGGTAATCGCTGATTCTCAGTATTGAGACGTTCATTAATGAAAGAAAGCCGTTACATACAAATATGGGATCGCTAAATAGTGATCCTGTATTTGACAGCTGAAGAGAGCAGAGAGGTAGCGGAGTGAGTCGCCTCTCTGCTACTCCTGGTGACAGCTCCATAGAAGGCCCGATGTTTATGATACATTTCAGGTACAGGAATGTTACAATGTATCTCTGAGCCTGAAATGTATCACTTCTGGTCGGCTGAGCAGGATCAAAGACCTTCATTGAGATCTGAATCGGAGACGCCGTCAGGATCAGTCTCTGAGGTTATTATTAGCTGTTCCTAAGGGTCCCCACACACCTTACGATAATGTCGGGAAATCCCACGATCGTACGATTATCGCTAATATATTTTTATACTATAATTATTATTAAAAAAATCTAAAAATAATAATAATCAAAACTTGTGGAAAAAAAGTGTGTTTTCTTCTAGTTTTTGTCCTCATTTTTTAATATATTTTTTTCAAACTAAGTGAGGCGTTAGGTACACATGATATATTTAGGGACATTGGATATAATTATATCGCCCGATCTGTCCTCTAACATACAATATATCACATGTGCGGGTGCACTTTGTAAGAAAGTATATCACTGCCGTGGAAGTATCACGCAGCAACAATGTAACAAGTGTGTCCGTCATTTATGAACAGAAACTGAAAACTCGCTCAGTCATGAAGGGGGTCAAAAATAACCACGTGGGGGCATTACTGCTATGCAGCCTCCCAGAGTCATACAATGGTCTTATTAACGCCCTATAAACCAGACCTGAGCAGGAACTAACACGAGAATACAACAAAGGGAAATGAATCGATGAATGTGACAGAAGGAAAGAAATATGCACAATGAAGAAAACGAGAAAGCCCTTAAGGTGCAGGAGAGCGCAAAACAAAGAAACAGAGCGTGTTTTCACTGGTCACCTGACAAAGAAATGTCCAATCTGGAAAGCCGAGCAGAGAAAGCGAGAGGCACCTACACGAGAAAGAGCTAAGGCAGCCACAAAGGAACCTGCTGGCACATTATGGAACGCTATCATTAACCACTTCAAGACCAGGTGTTTAGACCCCCTTCCTGGCCAGGCCATTTTTCAGTGTTCAGCGCTGCGATACTTTGACTGACGTTTATTCCGTCATGCAACGCTGTACTGAAATGAATTTTATACCATTTTTTGGGGACAGATAGGGCGTTATTTCGGTGGTATTTAATCACCACTGTGGTTTTTATTTTTTATGATAATTAGGAAAAATTACAGAAAATGTTGAAAAAAAAAAGTTTTTTTTACATTATGTTAGGAAACATTTATTATTAACCAGTTTTTTGGTAAAATATAAAAGTCGGGGTCACGTCGGGTAAATAGACACCAAACATGTCAAGCTTTAAAATTGCGCGCACCCGCGAAATTGCAGAAAACTACCATACCCAAAATTGGCCATAGGCGACACTTTAAAAGCTTTTACCGCTCATCAGTTTAGTGTTATCAGTGATTGATGGCGCTAGACTTATTGCTCTC